CACAAAAAACAAAACACACACACACACACACACACACACACACACATATATACACATACATACATATATATATATATATAAGCTCGATACCATATAGTGCCCCACCCCCACTTAACAAATCCCAATTTAACCCCTGCATAAGACAATAAATAAGATTTATATTCCGCTTTTACTCAAAACTCACTTTAAACCACCATCGAGTGTTTGTAATAACTTCCGATTGGCGTGTGTGTTTTGGCCATGTATTGTTGCTGAAATTAAATATGTTATTACCTCTGAGTCAGAGCAGCGATCATGGAAGAGAGAGCACAGGCAGACAGCCTGGAAGCTGCTAATGCTCATCAGTAAATCAGTGGAAAATGAATAGAAATGATTATTCTGTCTGAGCTATGCATTTTAAAACGAGCACGCACTAGTGTAAATGTAGCCTAATAGATGTGTAAACTGAAGGCTATTTGAACTTTATTAAAACTATTTGCACTGATTTATTGTGTTGGTTACATTTTTTCCTTTGTGCAGTGGCTCAGGAGATGAGTCTTTGAGTCTGTATAAACATCAACAAGCTGAAAAATAAAACCAAAATTTTTTTTTTAGATAATGTAATCTTGTTAAAATAAATTTCATAAAATTGGTATCGAAAAAAGTATCGTTCAGGAACCGGTATCGAAGTCAAGGTATCGGTATCGATATCAAAAATGTTTACGATACCCAGCCCTACGTAGCGCTGCACCACATTTTTTAAATTTGAACACATTGTTTTCTATTAATGTACACCAGTGGCATAGGGGGGCCTGTCATAAAATAAGGGGGCCGCTCTATATTAAATGTGCGCATTTAAGTGTTTGTGCAGAGTGTGGAAGCTGAATGACAGCGCCCTTATACTGCATGACAGTTAATTTGGAATCGCCGGTGCAATCAGTTGCAATTAAAATACAGACTAAGAATAATTACATCGTTCAAATCTGGTAAGGGTCTACATTTATTTGTGTACACTCACAATAACAACAAAACGTTGTGCGCTATAAAATAATGAAACCAAACAGGATACTATTTCTGCCGTCTCTGTCCCTGTGAACTTGAGCGCGTCAAAAATGAACCAAAACTCTGTTGCTTCACAGACATGAGAAATATATCTATAGAACGTGAATTGTTATAATAATGAACCAATTCAAATAGAAAACAAATATTCTCAGATTATGTAATCCGTATGATACATGTAGGCTATATTGTGCATCCACCACACAGCATTATTTGTCAAACTATATTCAAGCCATGTGAATTCATTGTACCACTTTGGGGAAAAGCAATGATTCTTTCCGGCAAATTCAGTGTAAAGGAATACGGTCATCATACGGTGTTTTGGAAGTCTCACCAGTACACTCCTGATGAAATGTTCGTGTCGGTGTCCTGAAAACAGGACGTGTCAGTTGCCGCTTCGCTGTCTCCTTGTGGAAAGCTGAAGCAGGCTCAGACATAGATGGCAAACTTTCTCTTTCGCACTTTACGTGATTTCTTGAAAAAAATGTATATTGTACTTTGTGCAATCACCATTTTTGCCGCATGTTAATGAACTCTCACACAAAAAGATGATCAGAGATTAGGCTACGAACAGCACATGACATAATTAAACCAATTAGCACAGCAAAGCCTATAGCACTCAAATGGCTTGAAATCGAAACTACTGCGGTACAGTTTGCGATTTAAATGCAAAAAGTCTTTTGTAGGTTTTAATTACAGGGGCTCTTGCCGTGTCCACTGACAAATCACTTTCTCTGATTTGTCAGTGGACAATGAACATTGAGAATAAATATTAATATACGCATTCTAAGATAATATTCTATTATTTGTTTGTCACTGGTGAGGCCAGAAATTGTACTGTAGTGAAGTTTCTTCAATTACAGAAACAATTATACAAAAAAAATGGTCACATACTTGATATCTCGACTTTCAGCTGTTAACTATACATTATGTTGCATAGAATAGTACACTGATGTTTCAATATAAAAAGTGTATTTACACATACAAGTTCCCATTCGAATGGTCTCTCCCGTTGCGTCGCTGACGATTATGGGGAAACTCCTGTTTACTCTGATACTGAAGACTGATTTGATCACATTTGTGTAGCTGCACGAACCAATGACGCTTCAACCTGCCAAAAGGGGTGGAGCCGACTGCTGTATAAGTCAGAGCACCATTTTGTCCAATTTTTCTCCTTCAGCAAGGAAGATCATCTCCTCGCCGGAATCTGAAGCAAGAAGCCAAAGCAAGAAGCTCAGCCCCTACATGATGCAGATGGGCATGCATAGACTGCGCTCACCAGAACGGAATGCTCTCACTGAGAGAATGAGTCTCACCCTTCTCCACTCACGGATCACCTTCTTCAATGAAGGCAGCCTTGATCTCCCATTTCACCTCTCTCAGCTAGCTCTGAGAAAGAAACAGTGGAGTCACGGGGATAAGCAACCGGGCTTGAGTGATCTCACACCAGCACAGGTCCTGCGTGCTCACTCTCCCCGCAGCATCTTGATCCACCAGTGTGTTTTACATGTGAGGATCAGCGCCCTTCATCTGCATCGAGCGGTTTGATCTTTTTAGGCGGATCAGAGGAGAATGCTGTCACCTATGATTCTGTATCGCTGACAGCTTCACCAGGCTGTGGAGAATCTCGGCTTAGAATGGTCGGCTGCGGAAGAGCCTGCCCGTAGCCGTTTAGATAAATGATACCCGCTGGGTTGTCGTCAACAAACCTCCTGCTAGAGTTCACGATGAACTTATCAAGACGTGGCACGCCCCTACTCGGCACGTGTCAACTTTTATATTTCTGCCGCCCTCACCTCTCTTGACGGCATTGAAGTAAGAGGATATGGCAAGCTCCCCCACACGTCTACCTGCCATCTGCCCGGCGTATTTGCAAAGCGCTTCACTGCAGCTCAAAAGTCATTGCAGGTTGTGACGAGTGGGGCGGGGCCGAGAGCCGTGGGAACGGAGCGAGGCCGGTGGAGTAATTGATAATGAGCGACACCTGCACCACTCACCGGTCTCGAGTCTCACGGAGGAGCTCCGGAAGGATAAAAAGGAGGAGTGACGACAGTGAAAGACGAGAGAAGACCAGGCCTGGACTTTATTTTGTGTTTTGGTTTTGTTTGTGCGCGACAGTCGTCCGCGAGGGGCTGACGCGCTGTTTTGTGTTTATTTTATTATTAAAGTTTTGTTTTAATGTTCGCCGGTTCCCGCCTCCTTCTTCCCGACCTACAAACGTGTGTTACACAGGTCATGCACCACTTCTTGCCTAAGCCCCGTAGAATGAGGTTACTCACTCCAGTTTGCTCACAGGCCACTTCGCCATGGAAACGGTTCCTCTAGTGAACAGCGAGGTTTTTACAGCTGCTACTTCCTCATTCCCAAGAAAAATGGCAGGCTCAGGCATCTGAACTGTGCGATTATGAATCGCCCATTCAAAATGCTGACTTGGAAGCAGATCCTCACACAAATGCCGCAGGGACTGGTTTTTTATCGGTGGATCTGAAAGACGCTTACTTTCACATCCAGATAGCCCCTCATCACAGACCGCTCTTGAGATTCGCGTTCGAGGGGGTGGATTATCAATTTACAATCTTATCATTCGGACTGTCTCTGGTCCTATGCACTTTACAAAGTGCACGTATGCTGCTCTTTCTCCTCTGAGACTGATTGGAATCTGCATTGTGAATAACCTAGACGATTGGCTGGTCTTAGCCAGATCGAAACAGGAACTCATTGCTCACAGGTCGCTACTGCTCAGCCACCTGGAGTGGCTTGGGCTACTAATTAATTTAGCCAAGAGCTTTCTGTCTCCCAACCAGCAAGAAGTCTTCCTTGGGACAGTTATTGATTCTGCCCAGATGCGGGCATGGATTACGCTGGAATGCTCCCTGATAATTCAGTGGCTTGTGGCGTCATTCAGACTTGGGACTTCACATCCCCTCAGGGCTTTCAGAGGATGCTTGGCCTCATGTCAGCCCCTTCCTCTGTGATTCCTCTGGGCCTGCTTCACATGCGGCCCCCTTCAGTATTGATTCAAAGCCCATGTTCCATCCTACGCTTGGTGCTGCGATGTTTTCATCTCAGGATAACCCATCGCTGCATCAGAGCTGTGGCCCCTTGGAAAACACCTCACCTGTTTCAATCAGGCATCCTGTTGCGACTGACCTCCAGAAGGAAGCATCAGAATCAGAAAGAGCTTTATTGCCAAGTGTGCTTACATACACATGGAATTTGTCTTGGTGACAGAAGCTTCCAATACACAGACAGGTTGACAAGTGACAAGACACAGATAACAAAATAAAAAGAAGTGAGTAAAAATAAATATGTAAAAAAAAAAACAATACACAATAGACAAAGAGACATTAAACAGTATATTGTATGTACAGATGTGCTATAGACAAATTATGCAAGGGAATGTGGATAGATGTAAGATATATTAAATCAATAACATACGTATAATAAATATAAGTATAGATAGTTGGGTATTGCACATGTTTTATTGCACAGTGGGGAGAACATTTAACTGTTCATGAGGTAGATGGCCTGAGGGAAGAAACTTTTCCTATGTCTGGCCATTCTGGTGTTCAGTGTAGTGCCGGCCAGACGGCAACAGTTCAAAGAGGAAGTGTGCTGGGTGTGAGGGGTCCAGAGTGATTTTGCCAGCTCTTTTACTCACTCTGGATGAGTGCAGTTCTTGGAAAGTGGGGAGGGTTGTACCAGTGATTTGCTCAGCAGTCCGGACTATCCACTGAAGTCTTCTGAGGTCAGTTTTGGTAGCTGAGCTGAACCAGACAGTTATTGAAGTGCAGAGGACGGATTCAATGATGGCCGAGTAGAACTGTATCAGCAGCTCCTGTGGCAGGTTGAACTTCCTCAGCTGGCGAAGGAAGTACAACCTCTGCTGGGCCTTTTTGACAATGGAGTCAATGTGATTGTCCCACTTCAGGTCCTGAGAGATGGTGGTACCCAGGAACCTGAATGACTGCACTGTTGCTACAGTGCTGTTCATTATGGTGAATGGGGGGGGTGCAGGGGGGTTTCTCCTGAAGTCCACTATCATCTCCACTGTTTTGAGCTTGTTCAGCTCCAGGTTGTTATAACTGCACCAGACAGCCAGCTGTTCGACCTTGCTTCTATAAGCAGACTCGTCACCGTCCTGGATGAGGACGATGACTGTAGTGTCATCTGCAAACTTCAGGAGCTTGACAGAGAGGTCAGTAGAGGTGCAGTCGTTGGTGTATAGGGAGAAGAGCAGTGGGGAGAGCACACATCCCTGAGGAGCACCAGTGCTGATGGTGCAGCTGTTGGATGTGAATTTACCAGTTATCACTAGCTGTTGTCTATCTGTCAGAAAGCTGGTGATCCATTGGCAGATAGAGTTAGGAACAGAGAGCTGGGTTAGTGCCTATCTGTCAGAAAGCTGGTGATCCATTGACAGATAGAGCTAGGAACAGAGAGCTTGGTTAGTTTGGTCTGGAGGAGTGTTGGGATGATGGTGTTGAAGGCTGAACTGAAGTCCACAAACAGGATCCTTGCATAAGTCCCCGATTTGTCCAGATGTTGCAGGATGTAGTGTAGTCCCATGTTGACTGCATCATCCACTGACCTGTTTGCTCTGTAAGCAAACTGCGGGGGGTCCAGTAAGGGTCCAGTGATGTCCTTCAGATAAGCCAACACCAGTCTTTCAAATGACATCATGACCACAGACATTAAAGAAACAGGTCTGTAGTCATTAAGTCATGTGATTTTAGGTTTCTTTGGGATGGGTATGATGGTGGAGTGTTTGAAGCAGGCAGGGACTTCGCACAGCTCCAGTGATCTGTTGAAGATGTGTGAAAAGACGTGGGCCAGCTGGGCAGGTTTTTAGACAAGCTGGTGTAACACCATCTGGGCCTAGTGCTTTCCTTCTCTTCTGCTTCCTGAAGACCTGACGCACATCATCTTCACTGATCTGAAGTGCAGGAGTGGGGGAGAGGGGGGTTGCTGGAGGTGTTGATGCTGTGTAGAGAGTTGGTCAGGGCGGGTGTGGGGTGTGAGACCAGGAGTTTCAAATCTACAGTAAAACTTATTCAGGTCTTCAGCAAGTTGTTGATTAGCTTTAGTGTGGGGGATGGTGTCTTGTAGTTTGTTAGGTCTTTCAGACCTTTCCACACTGAAGCAGGGTGATTGGCTGGGGGTCCAGTAAGGGTCCAGTGATGTCCTTCAGATAAGCCAACACCAGTCTTTCAAATGACATCATGACCACAGACATTAAAGAAACAGGTCTGTAGTCATTAAGTCATGTGATTTTAGGTTTCTTTGGGATGGGTATGATGGTGGAGTGTTTGAAGCAGGCAGGGACTTCGCACAGCTCCAGTGATCTGTTGAAGATCTGTGAGAAGATGGGGGCCAGCTGGTCAGCGCAGGTTTTCAGACAGGCTGTTGTCACACCGTCTGGGCCTGGTGCTTTTCTTCTCTTGTTCTTTCTGAAGACCTGACGCACGTCATCTTCACTGATCTGGAGTGCTGGAGAGGGGGGTTGCCGGAGGTGTGAATGGTGTTTTTTTCAAACCTGCAATAGAACTCATTCAGATCGTCTACCAGATGTTGATTCTCCACAGTGCTGGGGGATGATGTCTTGTAGTTTGTAATGTCTTTCAGACCTTTCCACACTGAAGCAGGGTCGTTGGCTGAAAACTGGTTTTCCAGCTTTTTAGCGTAGCTCGTCTTAGCCACTCTAATCTCCTTATTCAGTGTGTTCCTAGCCTGATTGTACAAGACTCTGTCCCCACTCCTGTAGGCATCTTCTTTGGCCTGGCGAAGCTTTCTGAGTTTTGCTGTGAACCATGGTTTGTTGTTGTTGTATATTGAATATTGCAAGATGGCGCTCCCCGAGGCAGACGTGTTTGCTCGCTCCGCTCTCGAATGCCGGTTTTTCTTTCTTTTTTGTTTGTTTTCTGTTTTATCTTCCGTGCTCAAATGCGGTGCACTGCTAATGTACAACAGACAGGCATTATTGGACATCGCCAATTCAGCCAACCATCTTGAATTTACCAGTTTTATACCTCCGGAGCTACAACACATTAGTCGCTCCCACGGTCACCGCCACCACCCCCAGGAAGGCCCCGAAGCACCGAGCTCGAGCGAGGTAGCTGACCCGAGGAGAGCGCTCCGGAGACGGCGACGCAAGTGAGGCAAGAGGGGAGGGCTTCATGCTAAGCTAAAAGCTTGCGCTAGCCGACCACCGCTACCCAGCCTGTTGTTAGCTAACGTACGATCTCTGGAAAACAAACTGGATGAGCTGAGAGCAAGGGTTACATCACAGCGGGAAATAAGAGAATGCTGCGCTCTGATTTTCACTGAGACCTGGCTCAGAGAAAAGTCCCGGAATCTTCTGTTCAGCTACAAACTCACTCCATACATCGAGGAGACCGGACCGCAGCCTCCGGTAAGGCTAAAGGGGGAGGTGTGTGTGTGTTTATTAACAACTCGTGGTGCGGAGACATACAGACTGTTTTTAAGCACTGCTCGCCAGACGTGGAGTTTTTATTGCTGAAATGCCGTCCCTATTATCTACCGAGGGAATTTACTGCTGTGTTTATAGTCGCTGTTTACATCCCCCCGCGAGCTAACTCCACAGTAGAGCTAGGCAAGCTCCATGATGTACTAAGCGCACTAGAGACACATAATACTGAAGTTCGCTGATGACACCGCAGTGATAGGACGGATCACTGGCGGGGATGAAGCGGCCTACAGGAGGGAGGTGGCCAGTCTTGTGGCATGGTGTGAGGACAACAACCTCACCCTCAACACGGACAAGACAAAGGAGATGATAGTGGACTTGAGGAAAAAGAGGAAAACTCACCAGCCACTGTTTATCCGAGAGCTTGAAGTGGAGAGGGTGAGCAGCTTTAAATACCTGGGGGTCCACATCAGCGAGGACCTCACCTGGACACTCAACACCACCCAGCTGGTTAAGAAGGCACAACAGCGGCTGTACTTCCTGAGGAGGCTGAGGAAGTTTGGCATGTCACCTAAGATCCTCAACAACTTCTACAGCTGTGTAGTTGAGAGCGTCTTGACCAGCTGCATCACTGCATGGTATGGCAGCACTACTGTAAGGGACCGCAAATGTCTGCAGAGAGTGGTGAAGACTGCTGAGAAGATCATCAGGACTCCACTGCCCTCTCTGCAGGCCATTTACCATCGCAGAGTCCACAGAAGAGCTGCATCCATCATTAAAGACCCCACCCACCCCCAACACAGACTGTTCACACTCCTACCCTCAGGACGGAGGTACAGGAGTGTAAATTGCAGGACTTCCAGATTAAGGAACTCCTTCTTCCCCTCAGCTATTAGACTCTTAAACAGGTAGCTAGCTAGTGGACTTATCTATCTCAGAGAACAGTCAGACCAAATTGTTTCATCTCATTTGATCATTTGTAATGTTATTACTACCATTGTATATTTATTGATATTACTCATGTAGCCTCATCTCAATTTGCACATCTGTTACTGCTGCTATTGTTATCATGTACTTGCACTCAATTTGCACATGTTACTGCACTATTGTTTTTTTGCACATAAGTTAATACTGTACATTCGCATATGTAGATACCATATACATAGTCTATATTTCTATTTTCACATTCTATATTTCTACTCTATACTCGCATATATAGATACACATAGTCTATATTTCTATTTTTTTTTCATAGTCTTTATTCCTACTACTGCAGCATAGTTTTTATTATTATGTTTCTTACATTGTATGTATGTATGTATATGTGTATAGTTTGTGTATGTGTGTGCATAGCATTGCACTGTCTTGGCATTCATTGTGGACAGCAAAGTAAGAATTTCATTGCTCAGGGAAACTTGTTTTCCTCACTGGGCATATGACAATAAATGCTTTGAATGCACATATCCTCACAGAAACTGATGAATGAAGTTACAGTCTCTGTGAGCTCATCCAGATCAGGGGCAGCAGCTTCAAAAACACTCCAATCAGTGCAGTCGAGATATACAGTGCAGTCTTGTAATGCCCACTCTGTTTTGTTGGTCCATCTCTTTACAGTTCTTAAGACAGGCTTAGCAGATTTAAGTTTTTGCCTGTATGTTGGAAGGAGATGAACCAGGCAGTGGTCAGAGAGTCCCAAAGCTGCTCTGGGGATGGAGAGATATGCATCCTTTATTGTGGTGAAGCAGTGGTCCAAAATATTTTTGTCTCTGGTGGGGCATGT